CTCCTCCCTCCCCCACCCCCCTCCAATTAACTACACACAAAAAAAAGAGAAAGAATGATAAGACACACAGACAGACGTGTGTCCATCCACCGACCTCCAACCCCGACTGTCTCGCCTTGTCCTGTAACATGCGGATCGTCTGTAGCTGGTTGTTGTTCTCCGAGTCCTTGACCGACAGCTCCGACTGAAGGTCACTCACCTGGCTCGTCAGACTGACAATCTTACGATCACGAGACTGGACCTGGGGACAAAACATATACATAGTTTTACTTTTAGGAAGAGTTTTACAGCACTTGTAACACAGATCGGTTACATAAGTACCGAAGAGTAGAGATGTTTGTTTGAGTAAAGACAAGTGCATTGACACAAAAATGATCATTTTGTGCTGGGGAAAAGTAAGACCGACAGACAGAAACAGCAGAGGGAAAGGTAGAGATGTTACTAGAGAGTAACAAACAAAGAAAAGGAGGAGAGATTAGAGGTGTTATTAGAGAGTAAAATGCAAATAAAAGAAGGAGGAGAGATTAGAGGTGTTATTACAGAGAAACATACAAATTAAAGAAGGTGGAGGGACAAGAACGATAGATGTTTAAAAGGAAAGAAAGAGCAAACCACACCAGAGCATCTGGCAACCACCCACACAAAGACACAGGTCATAATGGTCACTTCAAACGAGCCTTTCATGTCACAGCGGTCACTTACACATAGCCCCTAACTTTTTTAAACTAAAGAAACAAAAAACAAAAGGCTCTACACACACGGCAGATCAAGATGATGGACATTGGTCAAGTAATCTTCCTCCAAACCCTTCACATACATTTTTCTACATTCTTTAACTCATTCGCTACACCGAGCCGTGGGGGGCGGCGCGGCTAAAGTGCCGTCAGTACACTCAGCCGCCCCCGGCGGCTCGAGAACCAATCTTCAATTTTAGCTTAGATTCTATTCCAATCCACATATCCAGGTTAAAATAAAGGTCATAATATAATGTTGACTTCCGGGTCAAGCATTTCCACTGAAAATCGGAAATTTAGATTCAGTTTTGAAATGCGATTTCGTAGTTTATTCAACTTTGTTTTATCGCGATGCCAAAATTATAGCCCGGACACCAGTCTTAGTAATTTTACACAACAAAATCTATCATTATTTTGCCCACTTAAGAGATGCGCATAATCGTCTCTTACAGAAACCAAAGTTGAAAAATACATAAATAAACATTACAGATGTATTCTACAAACCATACTGAAAATATTAGTATATAATACGTTGATATTTATTTGAATTTGTTGCCCCAAAGACCTTTTAACTGCCCACTAGTCATCATCTCATTCGCCCTCCCGAAAAAAAATTCATCCACAAGCCGAAAATAATACGTAGCGAATGAGTTAATTTAACCCTCATCCTGCGGGAGCCGGGTTTATGTAGCCCGATAAGCGTATTTCGGCACCTCGCCTACATTCTGGTCCCGAATCAGTGTAGCTCCTGGCTCAGCGCACGCGCAGCGCGCATCCTCTTACGTGTCATTCGGGTCCTGGGTCGGATCCCCATTCACGCAGGTCAAGTGTGTGTGCGTCAGTCTGCTTGAGTTTGTGTGCGTTTGTGGCCTTCTTCTAGAACCGCCTGCATTGGTTCGTAATCGAGGCATACGTCTCATTCAAAACAAGCCAAGCTGGTAGCTCTAGATGTTCGTCCAATGAAATTATCGAAGAAATTGACCCACTTAGTCATGAGGAGCTCAAAAGGATAGTCAGGAAACAAGATTTCCATTTTTCTATACAAAATCTTTCAAATGAGCTTGATTTTGTATGAAATGATACTACCTG